GGATTGTCCCTATCCACTCAAAGAGTCCAGATCCAAATAAAGATTTGGATCAGGAAACTCCTAATTAAATTAGGAGGGCTGATCTTTATCTGTAGATAAGATAAGGGATTATTCTTATCTCTTAAAGAGAGTCCAGATCCAAATACAAGATTTGGATTAGGAAACTCCTAATGGGATTAGGAGATGCTCTCTTCAAAGGCTATAAATAGAGGAGCAGGGAGAATCTCCAATATATAATTCTCAGATCAGAGATTACAAAGAGAGAAGAACCTACAGTTCGACTGCTCTTGTCTTCTGCTCTTTCTTTCTCTTGCTACCATACCAGTTCGATCTCCACCTCGATCAAGAAGTGTTCTTGATATTACCTTTTGGCAGAAAAGCCATCCTGCTAAAGAATCAAGAAGCCTCCATCAGATTCGATCTCCACCAGTTTGATCTCCATCTGTGGGAGCGATCAAGAAACCTCCATCAGATTCTTGCTGAAGAATCAGGTTCTTGCGGAAGAGCCATCCTGCTGATTCTACTTCATCCTGCACCATGTCATCTTTGATGGAAGCAGTCTTTGGACCTTTCCTTGGGCGTGAACACCTTAATTGGAGGTTATTGTTACTTCGTATCAGGTATAACCCTCCACTCCCTTTTTGGTTTCAGATCTGGTCTGGTTTAGGTTCAAAATTAATCCTTGAAAATGCAGTTTTCTAAAATAGGGAATGTGATTCCCACGTGGGAGAGAGAAAAATTTTGGAAATTTTGCCCAACCTTCCTGTAGGGTTCGGCCATCCATATGATGGACCTCTCATCCCTTCAGCGAAGAGCCAGGAACACCTAGAACCTTGTCACTAGTGAACAATTCTAAGGCGTGCTTGACCACCTAGAGTATTTAACCCAACGAATCGAGCAAAGCTACCCCCAAGCAGGAGGTCCTCCTAGGAAGACCGCCCTGCCGGGGAATCAGCACAACTAGGACGGCATGGGTCCACAAGCTTGCCAGCCCTCGGCCCCGACCATGCGCCATAGATTGACCCGTCCAAGTTTGGCAGTAGTCGCCCAGCCAGCTCGCATTCCAGGAACTCTTGACCTCCTAGCCAAAGGGAGGAGGAACCAGCACAATCTGAGGATAGCTGCCAACCCTCCGAGCAACATCACTGGCACCAAAGGGCAAACTCAAGGGATGAAGGCGGGCGTCGCATTCGCCCTAGTGCCCATTCTAGGGCTGAGGGGCGATGTCGAGCCTCTTCCCCTCACGTCTCCAATCTCTGGGACATCCTGAACGACCGTCGTGCCAGGCGCGAGGCATGCGGTCTCGCATCAGAATACTCTGGAGTCTGCGCCGGCCCCCACTGTGTCCGCAAAGACCAGGATGGCGTGCAGGCCATGCCCGACCCTTAGTTTGCCGAACTGTGAGTAGAGCTCGGTGCTATCAAAGCCGAGCTTCGACAACTCAAGGAAAGGTCGAACTGACACATCAACCGGATAGAGTAACTCTATGGGGAGAATGGATGCCTTCTCCCCCAATATCACCACCAAGCCATTACCCCCAAACTTCAAAGCTCCCACCTTGGAGATGTACGACGGGAACACAAACCCAGATGATCACCTAGAGAGCTTCAGAGCACTCATGATCCTATATGGATACTCTGATGCCTTGACATGCCGAACTTTCCAGGCAACCTTCAAGGGAGCTGCTTGATGGTGGTTCTCAAGCCTCCCACCTCGGTCCATTAACTCGTGAGAGCAGTCCTCTAGTCTGTTCCTCACCCGCTTTATCAACAGCCGATGCCCCCAGAAGAGTGTTGTCTTGCTAATGACAGTCAAGCAGAAGCGACCACATGCAAATTATGATGTAGGAAGCCACTGGCCTTGCCCTGGCTTACAACCAGTATATGCAACTTAACTCCACCCGCTTGCAAATTATGATGCAGATCGAGAGGAGAAATTCATGAAGTGGCCTGAGAAGTTGAAGAAGAATCCCCGAAGGGGGAACCTAAAGAATTGCAAATTTCACCGAGGCACTAACCACGACACCGAAGACTGCTACGATCTCAAGAATGAGATAGAGTCACTCATTCACCGAGGCCACCTTAAGTAGTACGTTGGAGGCGAGGCCAGTGCCTCGTCCTCTTAGTAGCAGCATCAGCAAATAGCCAACGTCATTAACATCATAGCCGGAGGAATGACCTCAGGAAAACCTTGGCCTCGGCTCGCAAAGCCTACACCAGGCAGTTAAACGTCCAGGGGCCAGCCCCTAAGAGGCAAAAGTAGAAAAAGTCCCTCTCCTTCACGGACGAGGATTTGAAGGGGGTAGTAGTCCCCCACGATGACGCTTTGGTGGTTTCGGCCATCATTGCAAACTTCATAGTTAAGAGGATCCTTATTGACAATGGCTCCTTGGCCAATATCCTCTTCTACGAAGCTTTTGAGAAGATGAAGATAGCACTAGAGCACCTCCAACCAGAAGATGTCCCACTAGTTGGCTTCTCTGGCAACGTTGTCAAACCAGAGGGCAAGATCACCCTACCAATCACACTAGGGACGAAGCCCCAGCAGGTGACGAGGATGACAGAGTTTCTGGTCATAAGGATCGACTCACCCTGCAACGTAATCATGAGAAGACCAACCCTTCACACACTCCGGGCAGCTATCTCCTCTTACCACCTCGCTCTAAAGTTCCCCACTGAACACGGTGTCGGAGTCGTTCATGGGGACCAACATGCCGCCTGCTAGTGTTATGTGGCAGCACTAAAGGGCAAGAATAAAGAAGCTCTACCACTAGAGAGCCTTGACCTTAGGGAGGAACCAGCGAATCGAGGCCAGCCGGCTGAGGACCTTACCTCGATCCCCCTAGACGAGGACGAGCCCAAAAAAATTGTCTGCGTCGGGTCCAACCTTCCCCTCGAGAGCCTATTC